CTCGCGGGCGCACTTCCCTCACCGAACCGTCCCGTGCGCGGGGGGGGGGGGATGGGAGGGGGGCAGATGCATAGTAAAAAGAGTGGGGCCAAGGTTGAGAAACACTGCTCCAAAGCTTTTAAGGGGGAGGAGGCACGAGAGGTTTAAGCCTATGAATGGGATATCATCTTGTCCAACACCTGCAGGACCTCACAACTAACCAAGAATGCTGAAATTGGCTAGATCAGAGCAAGTTGTTCAGAACTTGGCTTTCCAGCTGAGGGACGAGGGACATTCACCCTCTGCTGCTAAAAACTCCACCTTCTGCTACTCAGAAGCAGAGCTGTTCTGAGAAAAAGAGGCTACTTTCTATGGCAATATTATGGCCAGGAGGCACTGAGGGTTCTATACTTAACATATTGGATTTATTTAGGCATTTTATACTTTTCAGTGTAATACAGTACTGAATGAAAAACAACCGTGGGACTCAGAAATCCAGGCTCTTGAATTTTTGTGAGAATAATCACCCTTCCAACCAGCTGACCCTATAGGCTTGTTTGCCTGTGGGAGGCAATAGTGAGGATTTTGCCTACAATATTTTGGTATTTGTACAACTGCCCTTAAAGTTAGATCAGTGTGATAATCATCCCCTTATTTTTGTATGTGTTTAAAGGATTTCTTGCTCTCTATACCTTGGAGTGACTCATGGATGATTCATTTAAGATACCATAGTAATACAGACAATTCTAGGGGGAAAGCAGAGCAGCAAAGAAGGGAAATTAACAGCATAGACTTGGTTTTAAAAATGTCCGTAAAAATAGCCACTCAAAGCGCAAAGTAAATGAAAAAGAGTTGTAACCTCAGAAGTCAGGAGCAGGGAAAGGAAAGAAACCTCTGGAGATTTTAGTTAACCTGTTCCCACATCACTGGGGTTTTTCATGCCCCAGATTGGGTTTGTGGGGTGGGGAAGGAAGCCAATTGACAGCTGTCCAGCTGGGAAGCTCCATCACATTCTTGCATGAGCTCCTGGAACACAGAGCAGGCCGTCCAAGCAATTCTGTCTCGGTATGGATTGCTTGCTTCATCCATACAAATAAGGAGTCAGCCCAGAAACTTAACCGGGAATGTTTCAGTGACTAATAAACCAATTAAAAATCAATAAGTGGCAAAAAAAAAAAAATCTGCATGCAAGGGGCTGGAGAGCTGCTGCTGGTCAAAGCAGAAGTCTTGGTCTGACCCTGCCACCAGGTTCACGCATGGTGCCATGTCCTGCTTTGAAGAACGAGGTCTGCTCTTCCACACTAGGATCGCACAATACGTTGCAGGCTGACAAACCACCTTAGGTTCTTGGAGGATGCACAGAGGCCACCCCAAGGCAGTTTCCTGTGTTTATATCAGCCATGAAACCAGAAACAAGGAGCAAGTATTGCAGACAGATCCAATGTCAGATGATGGATTCAAAGGAAAATGGAGCTTTGGGAGTTTGCCTGGGTCCACACCTGTCAGGATGAGCTCCCTGCAAATTTTCTCCTCCCTCCAGCTGAGAAAGATACGGGCTCCCTTTCCTGCTTGAGAAATGTCCCACTGGTCACCCACTTGCCCTACTCTCTATGGCGGATCATTCAGACCACCTACCCGCTTTTCAGCCTCCCAAGTGTCGATCACCACCAGCGTGGTCTCCTCCCCATCCACAGACAAGGTACGCTCATAGGTGTCCTCTGGAAGAAAGCAGAAGCAGGGCCAGGTCCAACGGGGCTGCATGACTTCAGAAAGACAATAAAGAGAGTCTCCCCACCAAACGGCAACCGTTCCAGCCTCCAGAAACACGAGTCTGTGGGAGCGGCCTTTCCCCTTGGCAGACCACGGGTGGGCAAGAGACGTGAACCGAGGGCCAAAGACCGTCAAGGTCACCTGACATTAGCTTAGCACGTGGCGGTATCGATACCATCAGGTTCAAGCAAGGAAGCAGAAGAACCCGTGCCATGAGCCCTCCCCGTGCCCGAAGGTGCAGGAGATCCGTTCCTTCCCTTCAGAAAGGGCGAGAAGAACATTTACACCAGGGCGCCCTGGAGCCAGCTGTTGACCCAGAAGGCTCAATCCACACTGGAGGCTGGGCAGAGGGAAGAGTTCACAGAATCACAGAATTCCGGAGGGCGAAGGGGCCATAAGGATCATCTAGTCCAGCTGCAGCATGCAGGAAAGCTAATCCGACTAGGAACTTTCCCACTCTGGCTACAGCAGGACTGGCCGTGAACCAGAGGTTGCGAGGTATCCTTGGTCCCACCAATTCCTCTGGCAGCCACTCCAGAGGCCAAAGCCAGAGGCTGCTGCCAGCTGCTCGCCCCAAAGGACTGCACAACTTGAGGACTGTTGCAAATGAAATAATAAAACAGGCTAACCGTTTAAAAACCTCTTGCACTCAGAAGTTCCTACTGCCCTCAGATCCTGGAGTTGGAAGGGTTTTGTATTCTTCAACGTCTCCATTAAGGGCTTAGATCTGTGTTTCTCAACCTTGGCAGCTTTCAGATGGGTGGACTTCAACTCCCAGAATTCCCTTGCTGGCTGGGGAATTCTGGGAGTTGAAGTCCACCCATCTGGAAGCTGCCAAGGTTGAGAAACCCTGGCGTTGATTAAGGGCTCGGGGAATAATGGTACCAAACTGGGTGAGATTGCTAATATTTTAAAAGACAGAAACACTATTCTGTGCATTTAATTCCCCCCCCCCCCCAGGGAGGTGTTTTTTTTTTTTTTTTTTT